ACAGGCGTCGAAGCGAACAACGAAGCGGAAGAAGAAGGACCCTCGTTCGACAGACCCTGCATCCGCTTCAAGTATAGCCGATACTTCTGGAGATGACTCGCCACATTCTCGCGAGTCAACCCTTCCACGTTCATCAACTGCATAATCGTCTTCGGCACCGCGTTCTTGATTCCGAGGTGCGCCACCACATCCACGAACCGCTTGTGCAGCTGCGGCGTCCACACCAGCCGCGGCCGCTTCACCGCCGCCCGCTCCTCCGTCCGCACCGCCGAGTCCGCCTCCTCCGCGCACTCGATCCTCCGCTGCTTCCGCGAATCGGACCCCTCGCCGTACTCCTCGTCGTCGTCGTCGTCGTCCTCTTCGTCGTCGTCGCGGTGGCGGTGGTTGTTGGAGGAGGAGAAGGCCTGGTGCACGGCCCCGCCGCGGAGCGTGGAGAACGTGTTGCGGGAGGCGCGGTTGACGTCGAGGAGCGTGCGGTGGGGCTCGGGCGTGATGCTGAAGGCGGAGGCGAGCTCCGGCGGGATGAGGGGCTGCGAGAGAGGCGTGAGATCGTTGGCGTTGGGGAGGCCAATCTCCCACTCGATGACGCGCTCTTCCTCGTACTCGCTGGTCTTCACCTCTTCCCCCATTCAGTTATAACGGTCTCTCACACGCACTCTCTGTGATTTGCAAATTTCACAACACCACAATACAAGATTCCCCAGATTGGTATTTGGTGAGATTAGATGAAGGAAGGAAGGAACCAAATAATAATAATAATAATGCTTCTTTTTTTCTTAGGGAAATTCTGAAAAGGACAGAAAAAGTGCAATATCTTATTCCACATGCTGCCAACGTGGACGACTTAACCAGATATTTTTGATCTTCTAAATATCTATCTTATGCCTCTCCTTTTCTTTATTATTTCTACATTTTTTTTTATTTTTTATTTTCTTTTTACCGACTCTCGCGCCTAATTGAAACGGAACACACGTGCTTCTCTTCGCCTCATGTCATTGCCACCATTTTTTTTCTTCTACTTTAATTACCCTATCTCTTAGACACAAATTAACAACTAATTATCAACACATTCAAAAATACTAATATTACTCTTTTTATAATATTTTTTTATTCATTTAAATTTATTAAAAATAATAAATTTTATTGATAAGTATATTACACCAATAATATGATTAAAAAAATTATAAATTATAATAAATTTTATAATTGATTTGGAATTAATTCTCGTATTTAATGAAAGATTCTCTAAAATTTATAATTTATAATTTGTTAATAGAAAAAAATTATTGTTAACATTTATTTATTATAATTTATTTAAAGAACTAATAGATTTTTCTTATGAGAACGGCTACATCTTTCAAATTATATAAGTCGACTTATTTTTTAAAGTTTAAAAAATACGTTATTAAATCAAAATATATTTATTTTTTTTACGTGAAACCATTCTACTTATATACAACTTTTAATGTTTGGAGGATTTTTTGGTTTGTAATTTTCAGAGGATTCAGCATTTTTATTTTTTATATACACATGATATTAAAAAATCAATATATTAACTACATATTTAAAAATAATATTATTTATCGACTTATGACGCGATATTAGTATGCGATTCCGGCAATGAAGCCATACATTCATGATTCAAGTGTAAAGATTCTGGATTGATTTATCGTGTCACTTCTACTTAATTTCTCTGTACTGTATTTATGATTTCTATGTATTAAATAAAAATCATTAAAAAAAAAATACACGTAAAAGTTATTTTCATACTAAGAAAATAAATATAATTTTAAATTTAACTGTTCCAACTTCCAAATGAAAAGTATTTTTTTTATCTTTTTTCGTTGATGAATCATATCATCCAAACAAAATGTTAAAGAAAGGGGCGTGACATAAGCTTAAGCGCATGCTAATAAAGAATTATTAGAAATTTAACTAAAGACAATTATTTTAATGTTGTGTCATCATACCAAATAAGTTAATTTTCATCCTCATCAAAATATACTACCGGCCAGCCATTAGTGCAATTCCTAGTTTATTCTTCAAACCAACAATGGTAATAATTAATTAATTATAACCAAATAAAATTAAGTAGCGTACATACGACAATATCTTTTTTTTTTTTTGAGAGGCAATATCTATAAGTTGATACTCAATAAAAATTAATGTATATATATATATATAAGCAATTTATTTCCTTTTATAGAGTGATTAAAAGTTCAAACTTTTATTTAGAAAATATTTATAAACGTGTATTTGTCTTTAAAGTTCCAAACGATTATTAATATAATTAAACTTATATAGTTATAGTTTTTTTTTTTAATTATTAAACAAGTAATGGATAAAAAAAGAATCTCATTCATAGCAGTGTATATATTTTTTATATAAAAAATAATTCAATGATTCATAGCAGAGTATGTTATTAGATTCTAAACAAAAAGTTTAATTTTATTAGAAGATAAGCCAACCCAAATACTGTAAAACTTAGTTTAATCTACAGCTTGTATCCGACCCTAAAAAGGATCCATTATAGTTAAAAATGAGTTACAACTGATGGAATTACTCTATATAATGGTATTATTTTAATTTTAAAATACTAGTATTGAAGTTATAATAAAATCATGATATTTTTTATGATAAAAAAAAATTAGTGTAATTACAATATAATTGGAGGGACAACAGTCTTTAACTTCATGCTTTACTCCAACATCAACTTTAGATATATAAGAAACTCAACAATTCATTCCAAGAGATAATACTTATACACAGATTTTTTTAACAACTAGACTCACAGAGCACCACGCTAATATCCACGCAAATGGGATATCCAACTTTCAAAAACACTCGGCCCTCTCTTATAGTCCTAAGTCAATCAACATGCCTAAATGTTTAAAGCATTTTCAACATTAACACCTTAATAGGTCAACAATCATGTTTAAACGTCTAAAATATTCTCAACATCAACACCTTAATAGGTCAATGGTCATATCTAAATGCCTAAAGCATTCTCAACATCAAACCTTAACAATTATCATTTATATGCATTATCCATGGTTAATGAATATAGATCTAACAACATATAATCATTTACATATATTATCTCATATCAATATGCATAAATCAAATATCAACAATCAACATACAACATATAATAGATTCATCAATCTTATTCATGTTCGCCAATCAATCATATAAGCATGAAACTATTAAAGAACAACTTGTGCCCAATGTTATCCACCTTGTATTTAGTGCCATTGAAGTAGGGATCCCTCTTCCTCGCTATTGGGAAAAATCCAAGTCCCGCCAATCCTAGATCATTAAAAAGGGTCACCCACCATTTATCCACGTACCAAGCCTGGTAGTGCTGGGCGGGGGGGGGGGGATTGGGAAAAACTCAAGTCCCACATCGACTAGAGATTAGGCAATTGAATAGTATATAAGTGGAAAGCAACCCTCACCTTACAAGCCGGTTTTGTAGGGTTGAGTTAGGCTTAATCTACTATTCTAACACTCGCCAATGCTCAATACCATTCAACCTGTGTCTAGCGTAGATTAGGTAGAGACTTTAGGTCCTCACACCTAACATGGCATAGTCCCATGTTAAATCCCAAACCATCTAGAAACAAGTCTCTCCTCTCATGCTTGACATTAATCCAGACAGAGACAATTCTTTCACCTTGTGCCCAACACCATTCAAACCATGCCCAATAAGAGTTTAATCAGAGATGATTCTCTCTCCTCACGTTCAACGCCGTCAATGTGTACGTAAGATAGAGGCCCCCTAATTGAAGCCACACTCAATGCATTTAAGGCATGCTCAACACGAGGACAAGTTCTGTACGTGGAAGACTTAAAATTTGCCTCTAATCCACATGAAAAACAGGAAAAGCTAAACATACTACACAAAACAACCATACCGATCACAACAAACTCATATCTATACTCAGATTCAACATGCAAAACCATTTTGGACCAATCAGCAAGAATCACCTTCATAAACTCAAAATACCAAAGTACAACAACATATAATACCCACATCCAATCATTCATACCATCATACATTTAACAAAATTAAAAGTATGTGCAACTCCACAATCTAGCAAGACCAAGTTCTGATTTCCCTTACCTCGAATCCAAAGAGAACCGAAAGAAGAAAAAGAAGAAATGAAAGTCGGGCTCCAAGACTCTGCACCAACACAGATTCTTAGCTCCACAAGCCTTGAATCACCAACTCAGTCGATCAATTATGATCCTCCACACCCAAAAAATCTAGAAAGTAGAAGTAGAAGGATTAGAACTCAAGAATCTATCTCTCTAAGGTTTTTAAGAACTAAACTAATGAAGCTTAATTTTAAAAATAAACTTTATATACTATTATTTCCTTAAGGTCAAACTAGACCTCAATCCAAAGAAACCCTTTAAGACACTTGAAGACTCCTTAGAAGTTCATTAACTCTTGAAGTCCACAACACACTTCAAAATACTACAACACACAATTATTGCTAAAAAAGTAATAATTAATAAAAACTCACAATGTTATACACACACACAATGAGAGTTTTAGATTAAAATAAACACACACACATGCAATGAGAGTTTTAGATTAAAATAATTTGATAAGAAATCAATTTTTTTTATTATTAATATATTTTAATTTTATTTTATTATGATGTTGTTAGTATAATATACTTACCAATTTTGTTAATGATTAATATTTGTCAAAGAACCTTATTGCACATATTTAGTTTTATTTTTATCAAGTCATTTCATATAAAGACAAAGTAATACTTATATTTGTGACTTCATTTTTAAGATCAGGATTGAACTCTAATCCTGACTAAAAACAAAAAAGTTGAGTCACTTATAAATTAATGACTTATAGTTTGATCTTTCTTTTTAATCACATTTTTTTTCATTTACAGTACTTGAATAAGAGATATTACTTAAAAAAAATTGAGATTAATTATACTTAGACTAACAAACATACTTAGTTTCATTAAAATCAACATTATTTATTCTAACAAAATATTATTTATATACACAATTATTTTTTCACAAGAAATTGCTATATAGATAATTAAGATTTAAATTTTGATGTGTTTAAAGATTTAACAATCCATTAATTGTTTAATATGTTTTACTTATTTATGTTATTAATAAATAAATAAGATCACAATAATAGTTTTAAAATTTTAATTATAAGACTTTATGTATATTATATTAATTTTTCATGACTAGATTGACTTTAAAATTAATTTCTTTCGTAGAATTTTGATGAATATGTTAAATATCAAAACAAGTATCATTCAATGATATTAACCTATAAAAAAAATCTCAGATATATTTTGTTAAGGTTTAATCAGCAAATTTTGGTCACTTATTTTTAATTACTTAATTTTAATTTTTCAATTTTAAAAATCTGTAATATGGTCCAAGTGTTAATTTAATTGGCATTTTAAATTTAGAAAAATTACTTATTATAAAAAGTAAAAATTTGAAGATATTTAATGTTGTTATATTATTACATATTATGTAATATAAAAAGTATTACTTTAAAAATTATATATCGTCGCATTACTACAGGCGTGCATATTTGACTATTAAAATGAAATTACGAATTTTTAAGATTTGAGACTAAAAACAATTAATTGTGATTAAAAATTACATAAAAAGTAAAGTACAATTTTACTAATTTTTTTTAATAAATATACTTATGCATAAGATAAAAAGGATTAAAATACTTTTTAATTTTATAATTTCCTTTATTTTATTTTTTAGTTTCTATATTTTAAAATAAATATTTTTAGTCTTTAAACTTATTTTTTTTAATCATTTATAGTCTTTATATTTTAAAATTTTATACTTATAATTTTTTATTTCTTTAAATTTTTTTATTTTTTTATGAACTAAAAAAATATATCACTACAAATTTAAAGAATTAAGATATTTATTTAAAATTATGAGAACTAAGTAAAAGCATAAAAACTAACAAAAATATATTTTAAGTTGTAGAAACTAAAACATAAAAATAAATAAAATTATAGAAGATTTAAAAAAAAAATATTTAGACTAATAAAAAATGAGAAGTTCTATGGTACCTATGTTATTTGAGAGGGTACCGGTACAGTTGTAATTACAATTTTATTTTATATTTTATATTTTTAATAATTTATTTAAATAATATTTATGATATTTTATTCTTTTAATTTTTAAATTATTTAGTCATTTTATTTTTATTTTATATATTTTAATTTTATTTGTAATAATATTATTATATATTTAAATAGTTTAATTTTAATAATTTTTTTAAGTATATTTTTATCTTTTCACTTAAAATTTTTAAATTTCTATATTTTAATTTTAATAATTTTTTAAGTATATTGAATTTTTATATTGTAATTTTAATAATTTTTTATTTTTACTATTTATTAATTCTTTTCTTTTTTAATGTTTTATAACATTATTAAAATCTTATAATTTTAATTTCTATAATTTTATCTTATCTTTTATTTTATAAATATAATTTAAATTATTTATTTTATAATTAAATTAATTTTTTTAAAATTTTATAAATTTACATAAAAAATATATATTAAAATTCTTCTACCTTTAAAAGTACCGTATCAATTCTCATAAAAAATATCAACAAAACCTTATTCATGTCACGTCAACAAAATAAATGCGCTTTTTGAGCTTTTTTCTTTTTTGACAAATGAGAATGCGTAAAGTTTCCAAAAGGCGAAAGCGTGTTGGAAGACAGCTGGAAGCGTGATCGAACGAACGGTGGTGATTGATTTTTGTTTTCAGAATCAAGCGCACTATTTTCTATGATGAATCAAGCGGCTCAGAATCACACGACGGAATTTTTTACATAAATAATATTTTTTTAAAAAAAAATTATAAAAGTAACATCTGTATAACATTATTTACTCAACTAGAACCAATCACTGTTCATGCTTAGAATTCGGTTTTCCGGAACCGGAAACCGAGTTCTGAGCTTCAATTTTTTTTTTAATTTTTTTTTGTGCTCAGAATTCGGTTCTCGGGAACCGAATTCTGAGTTGTTTTTAATTTTTTTTGCGTTTCTGGGAAGTTATTTTTGAAATTGGAACGGCCTGTTCTGCACCCGTTCCAATTTCAAAAATAACACTCTATGTGTTTAAGCAGAACGGGCCGTTCGACTTCCGGAACGGCCCATTCCACTTCCCAGATTCGCCCAGACTAGGCCTCAAACGCAAAAAAAAAAAAAAAATTAAAACAACTCAGAATTTGATTCTTCGGGAACTGAATTCTGAGAAAAAAAAAAGGAAAAAAAAATATTGAAACTCAGAATTCGGTTTCCGGGAAATCGAATTCTAAGCATGAACAGTGATTAATTCTAGTTGAGTAAATAAAGTTGCACAGATCTTACTTTTGTAATTTTTTTTAAAAAATATTATTTACGTAAAAAATTCTCACACACGCCCATCCAATAAACGATCACCCACTCCAGCAACCTGCGCCGCTTTTCAAACACAAAGCAACGTTAATGAGCGCTTTAATAATATAAAAAATACAAATAGTGTAAGACAAATAAAAAAATAAAATTTAATTAGTTTTTGTAATCACAGCATAATAACATAATATCCACGTCACTAATGTTTTAATTAATCAAATATTTTTTAATGATTATGCAAATAATTGTGGCGATTCTGCTTGAAAAAAAAATGAAAGTTTTTTTTGTGGCGGTCTATAAACAACCGGTTTCTGCGGAAAAAAAAAATATTAAAAAATATTGTAGTAATTTGTAAGCTCTACCTCCTCCCCATATTCTCATTCACCACCCCTCCATTTTTTACGGTACAAAACACTTATTCTTATTTTAACTCTTCTCCTATTTCATGCCTATTTTGTTACTACCAAAGAAGTGGTAAGAAAAATGAAAACAAAGATTTTTTTTTCTTCAGTGATAACAAATATATTTAGTTATACAAGATTAAAAATATTTTTAAAAATGATATTTATTATACAATATTTGAAAATCAATCCAGTAGTATTTAGTGAAATATATATTTTTAGTTATCATTATAATAAATAATATATTTTTATTTTATAGTTATTTCATAGTATCTTCAAAGAACTTTTAATAAGATTTTAGTCTCTCAAATTTATGATTAATTTATTTTATCTCTCAAATCTAAGATTATTATTTTCAATTCCTGTAATTTTTAAAAATATTATTTTAATCTTTCTGATAACATATTTGAAAGTGACAGATTAAAATAATTATGCAATATTAATTAAGTTTAATACAATATTTTCACTAATAATAATATAAGTTTATAGATTTTGAATGACACTATTTAATAAATTCTCTAACAAAATTTAAGTATAAAGATTAAAATATTTTTTTCTTAAAATTACATGATTATAGAAATCAATTTTAATTTGAGGGTGAACTCAATTGATATTGCATAATTGTTTCAATTTGTTACTTTTAAATATGTTATTAGTAAATTGAGAGATTAAAATAAGACTTTTAAAAATTACATGGATGAAAAATAACAATTTAAAATTTGATGAACTAAAAAAAATTTAATCTAAAATTGAGAAATTAAAAAAATATTTAATTCTTTTAAAATCTTGAAAGAAATTTTAAACACTCTTATTGTTCAAATTCATTGCAATTATCTTTTTGAAACATTAATATATTGAATATTTAAATGTGCTGACGAACTTGTAATAATGGCGGAAAACAATGGCTTGTAAGTTAGCGTTAAGACTTGCATTATTTTATATACAACTTGGCCTCTGCCACCTGGTATGGCCATTATAAAACTCATGAAATCAGCAATAAATAAATAAACAAAAACTAGTAGATAACGTTATTTATTTGATGTTCGTGGAAGATGCAACTGCCACAAATAAAAAGAAGTCTCATATATTATTTCAAATCTTTTACTGGATGGAAATAGGATAGGATCCGAAGTTTCGATCTATTAATGTGATACTAAGAAACATAAATAGTACTTAAAACAGAATGAAGACACATGTTTTCCGCCAAGAGAAGATGCACAGTGGAGTACAATTCGGAAGGTAAAGATTACTGCACCTTAGAATTTCTCCCACATAAGTTTAATTAATTGGAAAGGAATATATCGTGTAAACACAACTATTATATCATCCAGATCACTAGATTTAACTAATTTTGTTGTTACATGTAACAGTATTTTATTACTCACTCTGTTTTACTTGTCAGTTTGATAGTAATTTTTTCAAATTTTATGACAATATTAATTATTTTTTCATCAATTATATATTTATATCTCACTTAACTTTTAATTAACTTATACATAACAGCTAATATGTATTTATTGTAAATAATAGAAAAAGTTTATTACATTTATTAATTTGTGTTAGGAGTGAAATAAATCTATTTATTCATCATCTATCTCATTAATTCATAAATAAATTCATTCAATTCATCCCTTATAATAAAAAATTATGGACTAGGTCTAATATATCTATTTAATTTTATAACTAATTAATAATCTATCTACTACTTTTTAGAATCCATCAATTACATATGAGATGTTTATTAGATTGAGATTATTTTGATATGAAAAAAAATGTTGTGAATTTTAGAAAACTATATAAAGTATAATGAGTTATAAAGAAAATAGAGAGAAGTCAAACATTTCAAAATATATTATCATAAAATAAAAATTATATAATCTTTAAAACATTACTTTTATAAGAAAATTATTAACAGATGGATTGAATAAATTTTTTGTTTTAAATAAATCGGATAGATTGAATTTTTATATAAATTTTTAGTGAATCTAAATAAATTAATGAATTATTCTTATCCAATTTATTATGATATATATAAAAAATTAATTGGTCCATTCAATTGTCACTTCTGTAAAATAATCTTAAATAATTATTATAAAAAAATGGGAGAAGTAATTCTTTTTACAAACTAAAAATATGAATTATATATCACGTGAAAATTCAACCTTTAAAACCCAAATAAAAGGCTGAGACCAAAAGATGATTCAATGAAAGCCATTGGTACTTACAAACAAGTTTCTCATTGTTTTTTCAGTTTTTCTTAAATAAGTCAAGAAACCTACTTTTTGCCGGCAACTTTGTTGGTTTTGAAAGGTCAAGCTAAATCTTCTAACATTGTATTTTGGGATAACCTTGTTTACACCGAGTCTACAACTATATGTAATAAAAACTACAATCACTGAGTCATAGAAAGGTATCAGATTAATTTTAATTAGGACAATATCTCAAATGTTTTAAAATAAGAATTCATTTGTTAGCACTGCGAAAATCAAAAGTAATTATTGAAGCAAGACTTTAATTTGATTAAAATTTTACATCAAAGGGAAACAAAAACTGCACTTAAAATGTTATCTTGTTTTAAAAAGGAGCTAGAAAAGAGAACCTTGAATACTTTTCCAATCATTTTATACCACTACTTTAGAACCTTTATTCTAGTGCTCATTTCTCTTCCCTTTTTAGCCGTGATTGAATAAAAACATATCAACAATGCAGACTTATATTATAGATATCATAGGAGAAAAGCGAAATATAGACTTGCAACATAAATTATACTTGTTGAAAGTGGAAACAAAGTCAATAACCATACATGATGAAAAGAAAGGAAAAAAAAACTGCCATTGTCTAAACAAAAACAGCTCTCCGCATGCCATCATTTTGTACAGTCGCGTCAACTTAAAAACTAGCTCACCAGTCACCATTTTATAATCTTTACACCATAAAAAGGCTTGTATAGGCATTTTATCTCCTCTGCAGGGGCATCAGCTGCATAAAACATCTGAGCCTCATCTCGCATAAATTCTTCGTATAAACTTAAAACTACAAAATGTACAGTTCTGCAGTACAACCGAAAACTTTATTTCCAATTGGCTATTACCCATCTTCACAGATAGGTAAACATAACCTCTTGATTTGGGAGAGAAAGAGAAGAAGCAACAGCTCACACTAGCCTCAGTTAGCTGTACAATATTATTTTTCTAAGCCACCTACCTAAGCAGGTTGAGGAGACTGAGCAGCAATTCTCCTTTCTGCAACAAATTAAATGACCCGTTGATAAAATATGTATATAATACCTCAAAATATGATAAAAATAAGCTGTTAATTAAATGTGCATATAATGATACAATTAGAAGTAGCATAATGACTCGGTCTTCATGCGAGTATCTCAAGGATGCATTTATCACGTAGGAGCATGCTTTCGGATGAAAGTGCTCCTACAGCGCACACAAGCATGCTGAAATTAATATCAGAATGTGCGAGAGAATGCAAATGAGGAATGACAACATGGAAGGAGTAAGTACCTCCAGCAGCAACAAGTTTTTCGACACGTGCAACGATGTGCTTTCCATAGGTGTACTTTTTCAATGCATTCAAATGAACCTTAATTCTTGAAAGAATCAGCTCGCGTTGTTGATCGTCACAAGTTTCCAGCACCTTTTGTACTACGTAATTTGCAAATTGATCTTTCATCATCGCCTGTATATAAAAGGAATCTAATTTATCATTTTGCAAAGCTCGGGATGCGGGAAAGGTCTCATTTAACAAGAAACAAACCATTATCAACTTTAAGACAGGTTGCGTTAAATATAAAGCATGCAGAGGCAGTTGATCCAACAATAGAATTAGGTTAGACTTGGTTACCATCTTAGAATTTAGACTTGGAATTTATAAACTTTATTTAAACCATATCTCTAGTCGATATGGGACTAAACCTCAATCTTGAAACTGCTATTGAGGTAGTTCCCAAAGATGACACAACTAAGGTGGGTTAGGGGTGCCTATGTTTAAAATGGCTTTCGAACAATCATTTATGATGATGGTATTGAACCTAAAAGTGGGCATCAAAATGTATATTAGCATTGTCTTCTAGTTTGCCTCAAATTCAGAATGGTATAGGCATACGTTAGAAACAAGGAAGTTCAACAAACCTGAAGAGGCTCATTTTCATCTGTGGAGCCAAGCATTTCATTCACTAGTAATTGGCGCTCAGAAGGACCACCAAAGGTCAAACATTTCTCCACAACATTGGAGGCAAACTTTTGTTGACTCATTTGAACTATCTTGCCTGCTAATTCCTTTATTATAGAAGAGCGTTCATGAGGCTTCCCATGTTCCAGTACATGCTGTTATCAAGGAGGGAAGAAACCAAAAGTAAGAGATCAACTCACATATAAATGGCATAGCACAAGGATGTTGAAGCAAGTTATATTTCTATCAAACAGTATCACACTTGGTAAGTAATTTAAATGTAATATTACGCACAGCAGAGACCACAAACCTGTATCATGAGAAAGAGAAAGAAAAACCAATCTTTGATGGCACAAGAATAAACGGGACTACACTCAATCAACAGGTCCATGAAACAATTACAAAACTATTTCTCAAAAAAAGCTTGAGCAGCAGTCTTGCTACCAAGAATGCACATGCAGAAAACCATGCTCAAGTAAACCAAACAAAACATGAGATAAAATATACTTCCACCACTATGACAATAAGAAACAAGCCCAAACTGTCTAGTCAGAAAAAATTATAAACCTGAACAACATAGTTGCCATACTGATCCTGAGCTAACATGCTAACTGCTCCTAAAATCTCATCCATAACTTTCTGCTGTGTTGTAGGGTCTTTGCAGTGCTCCAATACTCTCTGCCATATAGAAGGCATTCTTATATGACAATGATCTTGGCTACAAAATAAGAGTAACACAAGCAGCGAAGAAATCTTACCTGTATCACCCGACAACCATATGGATGGGTTGAGAGTGTCACAACTTGATCAAAAAATGTTGAGACAATAAAGTGTATTGCATCTTCAGGGACACATTCAATACACTTCTGAATGACATGATTACCATTCTGATCACGTACACAGCGCATGACATTACCATCAAGCTCTTGAACCATCTCTATCTTCTGATCCAAATCAACAACTTCGATAGCCTAAGGAGGGATACATAATTGAAAGATCATAAGAAAAATAATAAGATATTCATAAAATTACAGATAGAGAGCCAAACAGATAGATATTATCAACTACTGCCATCTTATATTATCAATACCTTCTGAATGACCCGGCAACCATACATTTGAAGGCTAAGTGTTAGAACATGGCCAAGAAGTTTGTTGGCTAATTCTCTTCTCTGGGATGCAAGTCCATGCTCAAAAAACTGCAATATAACATTACCAACTATTGCTCCAACAACATTCATGAAAGAAAATAATAAATTGAAAGAGTAATATTTACCTTTTGAACCACATAATTACCAAAGACATCAGTCATCAAAGCAAGCGCATGTGGCATGATTTCCTGATAAACCATGTTTTTTTCTTCTGTAGTAGCTGTTTCAAGCTTTTGTTGAATAAACCGGCTCCCATATTGATCCGCACTGTCAATGATAATATATTAATCATATTTAATTCTTCAGGGTGGCAGCATAAAATGATCAAGAGCAAAAAATACCTGAATTCAACAACATGACCAGAAATTTCAGAGAGCTCAAAACATTTTGTTTTATTGCTTTTAAACTCTTCCAACAGAGAAGAAGCAAAACTTTCATCAATGTTCCCATTATCTACATGCCAAGGTCCCATGACCCCAGCTAAATTCCTCATTCCAGAAGCAAAACGTACATTTAGTTCATTGTGCCTAACAGGACTTCCAGAACCAACTGGAGAAGTGGATAAAACAGAGTTTGCCATTGGACTTCCTGGGTAAGACATCCCGACACCATATGCAGGATTTCCATAATAACCATGAGGAGTGGAGCTGCCTGATTTCCCACCCAGTGATACATTGTATTGCGATTTCTGAGGAGAGAGGATAGACCCTAGATAAGCTTTCTGAAGCTCAAGTAAATTCATGTACGAATTCCCAAAGTAGTTCCTGTCCATAGAGGGGTCATTAAGAGCACCAAGTTGTGCTGCAGCATATTCAGATGTCCTCAGGTATTGAAGATACATGGGATCAACAAAAGGAGCCTGAAGAGCACTGCCAGGAATTTGATTTCCCATCCTACCAAGATTATGCACATCAGATGGAGCAGCACCTCCAGAAGCCAAACCACCCCCAATAATTCTTGAGTCCATTGCAGGGGCCCCCATTGCTGATGCTGCAGCAACATTTTCAAATAAGGGCGGCAGGTTAGCAGTGCCAAGTTGGTTAGTCATCAAGGATGCCAATGCTGGATTTCCAGCATACCCACTCAGACCGTAGTTAGTAAACAATGAATTTGTACCATCTAAAGGCTGGTACTGAGGTGGCGAACTACCTCCTCTACTAAAATGGGAGGTAGGCGATCCTTTGAAATATGAGTTATTGGAAGGAACAGTAGACTTTTGCAGCTCAACCTGCCTATCCAGGGATGAATTGTTGAAATCTGACCCACTCCTGCTCTTACCTGAATTTTGCACGTGCGCTGATTCAGACTTCTTTAAATAAGCATGTTGCTTACCATGATCTTGACCACCTTGCCTACCAAAAAGATATCTCTGATGGTTATCAACATCTGATTCAACCTGTGATGGCAAACAGTTTTCACCATCTAACATATCATCTGCTGATAAGTTCATCCCTGACAATGCAGCCACAAGATCTCCTGACTCATTGATGCCAGATGAAACACCATTAAATGCATCTGTACTGGCAATAACTCTTTTGTCAGAGGCAATGGTTCTGCCGCCACCAATAGGCGTGATGCAGGGACTGGGAGCCCTAGCAACAAGTTGTGGATCAGGAGTGGTACTTCTTGACAAGGAAGATCCTAGTACAGCAGCATACGAATATGAAGTTGGCTGACCAATATTTTGGGCTGCAGATGATCCTTGAACATTTGATCCTGATCTTAACGCATCAGTGGCTGTGGGCTCACGGCGTGCATGAGCCATCTCTGCTTCAGCAGAACCCATGATGTCATTTTCATCAAATGCATTACGACTAGATGGACGAGAAGGAATACTTGCAACAGAAGTATTACGCCCCAAATCATCCTGCAATATTACTACTTGTAAATGATGGGCAGAAATAAAAGGATATGGAAATAAAGAAATTCAAAAAAAGATCAAAGAAAATATATGCTAAATTCACAACAGCATTGTAAATAATTGATAGTAGCAAGTATAAAATAAATATTGCTACAGAAAACTTCCAATATGCAAAGTCAAATGAATAACAATTTGAATATATCATATATTCAAAGATATAGCAAGAAACACATGCCGCAAACAAAATCAAATAAACATTTACTCCACTTCAATACAGTGAGGTATAAAAAATTCTTCAAAACTACTGGGTGTAATTGGGTAAAGCCAAGTCAATCACTACCCAATGAGGAAGAGTCTCTGCAAATTCTGATTTTTAAGTTATAAAATGAACGACATTATTCTGAGTACAACTTTGAATATATATAGTGAACAGTGTAGAAGAGATTGTTGTAACTTAATTACTTCAGTTGAACAGATACCATTATAATTCAGTTATTACAGAAGCAGTTAGTTACATAACATGTTAACTGAATTAACAGACTGATGGGCATGAATCCTTTTCAGTGGAAAATATTATTACACTAGATACAGTGAAAAATCTAACCGTCATATTTACTATATTTTGTAGAATAAATTAAATATTTTAACAGCTCTGATGTTATCCAGGGATCAATTGACTCGAGTGGACACTGGAGAATCACAACCCCAGACTGACACATGCTACAGTTGACAATATAGTACTACAGTATGCAGTATAGGATACATAAATAATAATGTGCCTAAAAGATTCTTCAGTGAATGCTACAAATCAACTAGATGTAGCTAAAAATCAGTATCAATATTATTTAGACACACTATGAAACTAAAGGATAGCTAGTACAACACAATCATAAAGAACCATTAAAAAATGAGAGGCCAAAAGTCAAATACACAGATGCATGTCATCATATAGAATTCGATTAATCAAAACATAACTTCCCTCAAAACTCACAATCAAGAATCAAAACATCTGAACAAGACCACACATAAAAACATAAAAATCAATATTTATCATAAAATACATCGACCAAATATAATACACAGCCTCACAACATATGCGTATCCGTAAACCATATGTCACAACAGATGAAACTGAAAATACAAAATGTCAAATCACACAATCCAGGAAAAACAAAGAAACAAATGCAGCACAGCACAAAGTCAATTAGTCGATCAATGGCAGAAGCAAGCCACCTGGAAAATTTCTGCAAAGCTCTTCTGTTTGCTCAGCCCTAGTCCAGGCAAACCAATCAGTCCATCACCACCCCACTCGGCAGAACCTCTGGTCTTTTCATTGTCCACCTCATTCTCTTGTTTCCTCATGTTGAAACCCGGTGGGGTAGAAAACAGCGATCTACCACCATTATCATCAGGCTTGTTCACCTTCCTCCTATCTCCAATTCCACCCAGAACTGAAGCTCCACCTTTAAGTCTTTGTTGAAACCTCCAATCCTCCTTTGACAGCAAAGGAGGCGGCAGCCTAGGATTCAAATTCACATTGGAGTAATAGTATGAAAGATAAGCTGGATCAGACCTAAGCTCTTCCTCAGAAGCAATCCCATTCACATCTTTAGTCCTTCTAAACTCCGAAAAGCCAGCATTTTCACCAGTAGAAGCGGCGCCACTGCTGCCGCCACCACCAAACAACCCTCCTACAGCACTCAAAGAACCCTCCACAGTTGGAGGCGCTGATCCACTCCTATATATATTGAGCTCTTGCTCACGATCATCAGCCTCCTGTCTGCGTTGCTCCCGAAGCAACATCCCTATCTCCTTCTCCAATTCATCACCAAAAGAGCCCTCGTTACTCCCAAGCACCGGTCTTCTACCCAATTCAGACAACATTTTTCAAAATCTTAATCTGATCACCACCCTCTAATCATCAACCTCGTATAGCTAAAACTGATCACTACCCACCACCATATATCAAACCCTAGTCCAAAAAACAACCCAAAGACTCAAACTTTTCCCATCATAGTGCGTAAACCTCCAAACCCCATATTAACAACCTCAGAAAATTATAACTTGAAGTTACTGGAAGAAAAAAAAAAAAAAAGTAAAACAAAAATCAAGCTTTAGCACCGTAGCCACTTCAGAAGCTGAAACAAAACCAACCCGAGAATCAAACGAGAAACGAGATTGCGAAATTCACCCAGAATTGGCTTCCATAAGTATAGACAATAAAATCGTAGGACATACGATACTATATATATATACATAATAACTGAGCCTGGAGAGGCTTGCCGAAAGAATACTCTCAAAATAACTGAGCCTGAAGAGATAAGAGTGAGTGAGATCAAAAAGGAACGAGTGAGAGAGAGATCAATCCGGCGGCGATTGGTTCTTACAAGAACCCTTAGGGTTTTGTTCCATTTAGAGGAGGATTAAATACAGACGATGATAGGAAGCAAAACGAAACCAATTTATTTGGTTTCTATTTTTATTTTTTTAAGTAACCAAAGTTTCCATTTTATTTCTGAAAATCTCGGAAATATCCAGTATATTTTATGTATTTCCTGAACATTAGGGGTAATTGACCAAGTGATAACCGACTGATGCCATTGGCAATGAAAGAGAAATGGCGTTTATTTTCATATCAAGAAGCTGTCACGGACTGACACGTCGTCTATTAGATTCGCTAGGTCAGTTAAATAGTACAGTAAATTTCGCACCAGTTACCCCTCTTTATTCACTTCAGTTAACTTAGTTCTGCTGTGTTCATATTTATTACTAATATCATGATTTTAATTTTCACATTGATTACTACTTTCTTATTTCCTTCTATTTTATATGCCTACACACATAATACTTGTAATGCTAGGCATGACAAATTTGTGCCTCTACTTTTATGTTACATGGAAAGGAAGGTAGTATGGCAATTATCCGGTTATTCTTAGTTTGTTAGAGACTTGTTATTTTAGTTTGCTTTCTACTTCTTTCATTCCCAAAATTTGATTCATTTAAATTTTTACGTATATTTAATTTACATCCATTTAGATTAAATTATTGTCATGTATTAATTTTTGTTTGATTTTGAGAGAGAAGATGAAAATGTGAATATCATTGATTTAGAAATTGATTACCTTACAAAAGGATTACAGAACAATGTATTTATAAGAGTTAGAAACAAACTAACTCTAACTAACTCAAACTAGAAAAACTAACTAACTTGTAATAACAACTTTCATCCATTTCCCTTAACATCCTCCCTCAAACTCATGGTGTCCAAAGTGGTAACCATGAGTTTGTTTCGAAAATGATGAAAGTGTTGCTTAGCTAGAGGTTTGGTAAGCGTATCTGCAACTTGGTATTCTGCAGGAAGATGAATGACTCTTACTTCATTCTGTTTGACTTTATCTCTCACAAAGTGCAGGTCCAGCTCAAAATGTTTCGTTTTGGAATGCAACACAGAATTGGCAGTAATGAGTACTGCACTTAAATTATCACAGTAAATTCGGGGAAGAGATTTTGGAACCCTCAATTCACTTAACAGTGACTGTATCCAGATAATATCTGCTGCTACATCAGCTATGCTACGATATTCAGCTTCTGTTGTACTTCTAGAGACAAATTTTTGCTTTCTTGATGACCAGGAAATAAGATTGGAGCCTAGATACACACAATAGCCACTGGTTGACTTTCTATCATCTTTATCATTTCCCCAATCTGAGTCACAGAAGCCAGCCAGATTTAGTTGCTTATTCTTTTGAATGAGAAGACCATGATGGATGGTTCCTTGTAGATACCTCAGAATTCTTTTTACTGCCTTCCAATGATGTTCTTGTGGGCAGTGCATATATTGGCAAACCTTATTAACTGCAAAAGAGACATCCGGACGAGTAATGGTGAGATATTGAAGTGCTCCAACTATAGACCTGTAAAAGGATGGATCTGGTACTGATGTTGTCTCATTTTCTGTCAACTTCAGATTAGCAAGCATAGGTGTAGGTTGTGGCGTTGAATCACTCATGCTGGCCTTATGAAGAATTTCTCTGAGATATTTTGTTTGAGTCAAAAGGAGATTACCGACCTTATTTCTTCCTTCGAGCTGCCTGTAATAATGATATCATCTACATAGATAAGTATCATGAGTGTTGTGGTTTTGGAGAACCGCACAAACAATGAGGTATCACTCTTGGTTGAATGAAAACCCATATGAATAAGTGTATTGCTGAGCTTACAATACCAGGACCTTGGTGCCTGTTTCAGACCATATATTGCTTTGTTTAGCTTACAAACCTTATCTTTGTGTTGAGTGTTGAATCCAGGTGGCTGAGACATATAAACTGATTCTTGAAGGTCTCCATGAAGAAACGCATTATTGATATCTATCTGATGTATAGGCCACTGATTGGTGATAGCAAGGGATAAAACGATTCTGACTGTTGTTGGCTTGACTACTGGACTGAATGTCTCTGAAAAATCCAAACCTGGTTTTTGATTGTAACCTTTAGCCACCAGTCTGGCTTTATGTCTTTGGAAGCTCCCATCTGGGTTGTATTTGGACTTAAAAATCCACTTGCATCCTATAGGTTTGTATCCAATAGGTAAATCTACTAGAGACCAAGTTTGATTGGATACAAGAGCTTGATACTCATCCTTCATAGCCTTTATTTAACATACATACATACATATACATATACACACACACACATATATATATATATATATATATATACTTGAAAATTTTGAAAAGGAAGCAAAAAACTCAATTCATTGGCATATTAGACTAACCAAAACCCATTAACAAAAGTGTGAGACACATCTTTGCTACCACTGTTATAGGCTCCTCCAGCTTCCCCAACCCATGGTGCTGCCCATGGCGTGAATTCCTTGACTGCTTGAGCAACACTTTTGAAAGTTTCAGCAACTTGGCTCAAGTAATATGGGTCTTGAAGCTTGTTGATAATATCCTTGTCAACGCCTTTAAAACAAACCAATCATTAAGAGCTAGCAAACTAGTGAAATGTGTGCTATAGCTATTGTCCAAAAGTACAATATATATATATATATATATATACACACATATATACATACCAGCACCAAGGTTGTAAATGTGGTGGGTCACTCCATCAACCACACCAGGCCCAACATTCAGTAAGAAGCTTTCAAACCACTCCTTACCATAGAAACCACCAGGGCCTAACACTTTAGGCCTTCTAGAAACATCAGGGTATAGTAGATTAACTATACGTCTAAGCCTAGTAATGTCTTTAGCATATTGAACACTGTCTACCCTGGCTCCTATCCCCGCAGCACATAGCTCATTTCCTATTAAGCACCATAAATCATAATGCACATGGGATAGATCGGGGAAAATAAAAAGCAATTTACGTGTGTGTGTGTATACGTCATTCAAATATCAAAAGCTGAAGATAAATTAATCATGGCTTTGATTTAGCTACCCAATTCATATGAATCTATTTT